GGGAGGAGAAGAAGAGGATTCATACCTTTCCCAAGGGTATTAGCATGTAAGTGAATGTAATGGACTCAACTGGAATTTGAACTTGGCTCTCCGATTTCTCAATCCGAGCTGCTATCCTTTACTTCAACATAGTGAGAAAGAATCATGGCCAGATGCCAAGAGAGTTTTTTTTTTTTTTTTCCTAAGATGAGGTGGCCAAGGCAATTTTGAGGTAAAATCTAGCAACCATCTGAACATGCTGTGTTAACTGACCTGGAGGTATTTCTAACTGGGCCCCATCTGCAAAGTTTTCACAGTTATTATTAATATTCGCCATCATATTGTACACATTTGGCTGTGATGCATATGCTTGGGATGCCTTTACCAGAAATAGTGCCATGATGGGTACATTGGGCTTTGTGCCTTTGTATCCTAGAATCACTTTGTTGGCATGTTGCTCTCTCATTCAATCATGATAACAAATGCAGGAAAGTAATATTTCAAAACTCACGTCTGGTTCAACAAGATCCAGAAAAACTTTGGCACAATAAAAAAAAAAAAAGATTTCACTGGTATTTACTAAAGTTAGTGGAGTTCCACACAAGACCACTTAAAGGGGAAAGGAGTGGGAAAGAAAATTTTGGTATGACAATCTTCCAAGTGTTTCATTCCTTTTCCTGTTCCCAGTTAAAGTGCTGTCATTTTTATTTTCTATTTTATTTGTTTTTGTCACCATCAATCCAGGATTTGATCAAGCAACCTCCATTACAATCTGACAAATTTTCTTTTCATTGTTTCCAATAACATATTATCCACTTGCTAGGATTGGGGGGATAAATCTGGATTTTTAAATCTCTGAGTAACTTCTCAAAAAAAAAAAAAAAAAGATTAAAAGAAGGAATTAAGGGACAAGCTCAATGACTTCAGATTATGACTTAACCAGGCCTTCTGAAAGTTTTTGAGCTGTGACGATCTTTTGTTAAATTTGTCTTAATTGCCCTCCCAATTTTATTATAAAAAAAAAAAAAAAATAAAAAAATATGGAGAAAGGCTTTTTTACTTCCTGTCCCACGATCACCTAAAGTAAAATAAAAAATAGATTAAAATAGGAAACAGTACATGATTATATTCACCAATTAACGTCCACCACAAAATATTGAATTAAAATTAAACTCTGGTATTCGTTATAAATTTCTGAAAATGACACTATTAATAATCAGCGTTAGCACATTTTGCACTGCTATGGTCACTATACCCGTCTATGGTGATATTCAAGACAGAATAGTACAATGGATTGCCAGTTCTTTTAGCACCAGGGATGTTGAGAGTATCTCATTCCTCCTCAAATAGATGGATTTGTTTTTGAAGTTACTTTCTTCTAGCTTTTGCCTAAGTCAGCATCTACAAGACAGCAGGTGGTTTGAATTCAGAGTTTCCTTCTCCTAGACTGGTTCCCAACCAAAGCTATAGTACCCAGTCTGTCCTGGTATTTTAACCATAGTTGTGAGAAGAAGAGATGGATTTATACTTTTCCCAATGGTATTAGAATGTAAGTGAAATGTAATGAACTTGACTAGAATTCAAACTCAGCTCTTCAATTCCTTAATCTGAGATCATCACTCCACCATACCTCCAATCTCTATTAATCATGGGTTTCTAAAAAAGACTGCTATTAATTGTAAGTTTCTGTCTATAATACATTAAAGCCCCAAAATAGGATGGTGGGCATTAACAGGTTAAAATGATGGAATTTTTCAGCAATCTATTGTTAAATTTTAAAGTTAAGGATTTCTCTTTTAGAGAAATGTTACAAAAGCCAGAAAAGGATAATTCTAAAGCTAGAATATAAAATTAAAAAAAAAAACTCAATTAAAACAAAACTCGCACCTCTCGCCTGTGGAACTCCCTTCCCTATTCCAGTTTCCCTGAGAGCTATAATCTCCAGCTATTCAAATGTAATGTCAATCGACATCTCCAGTTGCCTTGATCTATCCACTATCCTTCTCCTCATCCTTTCTTCTATCATTCCTCTCTGATCTTGCTCCAAATCTTCTGTAACCCCTTGCGTCCTAATGGCTTCCCCCTTTGCTTGGAGTGAAACGCTTTTTGAAAAAAAAAAAAACTTCCTGAAATTTTTACAAGTTACTCTTTCACTTTAGGATTGCCTAACTTATGCAATTTAAAAAGCACAAGGGAATTGAATTCATACCTTCCCAAGCGGACTGCAGCAACAACTAAAATGTATATCTGTCATGGGTCCTTACCTATAACTACAGAATGAACTCTTCCTAACACTATGTATACTACGCCTCTCCAGAGAGAGGGACGAATCGAGTTGAGCCGATAGTAGTTCACTCCAAACCAGACTGACAGTCATACTAACACCTTCCACATCTTGTATTATTATTTTGTGTAATACACCTTCTTTATTTCTACTCTTGTGTTCGTGTTGTACTTCCTTGGTCCTAACCTGGACCATAACAATATCACATACAACTTAAAGAGAAAATAATGACATAATCAAGTTGTTGACGTTCCACACTATTTCATATACAAGGTTAGGGAGGAAATCCACATCAGTACTGAAAAAAGGGAGTATCAGTTACGGAACTTGAGAAATCTATTTTCCTGAAAAAATCATTGTTAAGAGAAAAATGTTATGAATCATAACTGAAAGTAGAACTAACTGCTCAGGCACTGAATACCGAATATTTCATTTTAAGAAGATATATTTATATTACGATTAATCTTATTCAAATTAAACTCAGCTGCACCTGCAGTAGAGTCTTTTAAGAGATGCTTTTACAATTGTATAATTCTTGGCGTGAATTTTATCAGGAGCTCCCCATTTTGAAAATTGCTAAGCAGGAAACAGACCGTAAACAGGAAATAAATAAATGTCATTTATATATATATATATATATATATATATATATATATATATACTTAGCTGACGCGTTTCACCCTCTGTGGTACTTTATTAGGATAACGTAGGATTTATTATGCTGCATGTGTTTATATACACAGAAGCGAGGATGTCATTGGTTTTTCAAGGCTTGTAAATTTGAGAACGTTCATGAATGTTCATCTGGTGATTGAAAGGTCATTCAAAGTATGCGGAGAACACAAAATGTCTTAATTCAAAATCTGATGAAAAGTAAAGTGAGCGAATAATATTCAATCATTTTTTATGAATAATGTGTGGATTGTGATTGGTTTGGTTTGGCTATTTTGTTTTACGGCATATCAACCTCAATGAATTATTTAATGCCGACAGAATTTTTAGGATAGATTCGTATGAATAGAATATGTATTCTTTGGTTTAGATTGGTTTGGTATATTTTGTTTTACAGCATATCAACATCAATGAATTATTTAATGCTGACAATATTTTTAGGGTAGATTCGTATGAATAGAATATGTATTCTTTAGTCTAGATTAGTTTGGTTTATTTTGTTTTACAGCATATCAACCTCAATAAGTTATTTAATGCCGACAAAAATTTTTATTGTCGGTAATATTTTGTTTTGTCAAAAATCTGTTTCTGCTAATATTTTTCCTTCAAAATCGTATTGCTGGTAATAATTTTTTTCAAAGCCTATTGCTGGTAATAGTTAACTCTTTGCCCATAGCTGGGACCCTAACAAGTGCTATCACCCCGGGTCAGGGTGGACCTGGGAACACCAGCAATTAAGAGGTGGTTCCACGCTCCTCAAAACCTCCTGATCAGTGGCCTTGCTGCTGGACATAGTTTATCGTCTTACCCAGGACGATGTGTGGATGGTGATTAGATTGTTATCGTATGAGATAGATGTATATGCTATACATCTTCAAATGCTGAAGTGATGGATTTAACCTTTTCCTGTTGATTTTTCGACATATTTGTTGTTATGTATGTTGGCTTGGGAAAGTAGTAATTCTTTCAGGAAAGGTGAGATTGGGAAAAAAAAAGTGGCATTCTCGCTTGTCTAGTTTTAGAATTCCTAGGAAGTGTATTTTTTCATAAACATGCTACCACCAGACCTTTCTTATTTCAGATACATAGACGACTCTCTACTAATAAATCCCCAAAACAAGCCCTCTTAAACTTGTTCAAACCCTATTACGCCCTAAAAATTTCAATTACCTCTTTCTGATTTAAAATATAAGTGTCCTTTTTTTATTCCATTTTCTCTAAAACTTCGTCGTTGCTAGGATATTCAGTCTATGGTATGCTGTAGAAACACGTTTCTGTTGCCTCAAGACTTTTCTATATTTGTGGTTAGTAAATCGCTATAGAAGTGACCAGAGCACTTCAACGTGGTGTAATGGTTAGCAATCTTGTCTTTGTAATGTCTAAGTAAGTTCGATTCCCACTGGGTGATCCATACTTTCGGCTTTGTGCCACATCTATGTAAGTAAATCATTATGAAAGTGATCTCTCTGTCCCGTGTAGAGATAAAAACCAAGATGCATTGAACAAGAGCCTTTTTACGTCAGTCAAGGTTTTAAAAATGAAGCATAATTGTGTGTTTCAACAGCCAAACGATCCTAAACAAATCAACAAAAACTAAAAACAGTGGTTCGAAAACAAAGATCAACTTATTGAAGTGACGTCATTAGTTACCTCACTAGAATCGGATTCAAAATTTGCTTCTACGCTTTTTAGCCCCGTAATTTAAATGAAGTGAAGGAAATCTGCCATGAATATGAGTTCAAAATACCAGCAGGAGAATATGTTAAGCTAATGGTTATTTATGGGAAGTGACTAGAGGCTGCCGCTGAGAAAAGAGGCGATTTCACAAAATATTGAGCACTCTTTGATTCTGCTTTGCGTCAAGTATTGAATACTTTTGCTCCATCTTTTTAAATATATATTTTTATATAAATATAAGAGTATTAGTTGAAATTCTGCCACAATTTATTATTATAAAGGTGATACTTAAATGTAGTGTGATTTTGAAGTAAATTACCGCACCTGTTGGAAGATAATGCAATAAACTGGATTTTCCTGGCATTTATAGAATACGTATTTTCCATACAGTATATGTTTAAAGACTGAGATAGATAGATAGATAGATAGATAGATAGATAGATAGATAGATGAACAGACCTAGATAGATAGATAGATAGATGAACAGACTGAGATAGATAGATAGATGAACAGACTGAGATAGATAGATAGATAGATATGAATAGATAGATAGATAGATAGAGATAGATAGATAGATAGATGAATAGATAGAATGAATGAACAGAATAGATAGATAGATAGATAGATAGATAATGAACAGACCGAGATAGATAGATAGATAATGAACAGACCGAGATAGATAGATAGATAGATAGATGAACAGACCGAGATAGATAGATAGATAGATAGATAGATAGATAGATAGATAGATAGATAGATAAACAGGATAGATAGATAGATAGATAAACAGACCGAGATAGATAGATAGATAAACAGACCGAGATAGATAGATAGATAGATAAACAGACCGAGATAGATAGATAGATAGATAAACAGACCGAGATAGATAGATAGATAAACAGACCGAGATAGATAGATAGATAGATAGATAGATAGATAGATAGATAGATTCCGTTTAGCTATAATTAATTTCAGTTTTCGGGAACCAATTGTAATGATGGATATATATCACCCTAACTACTATTCGTACGTGGTGGTTAAGTATAAAGAAATATGGAGTCCACTGAAACATCTTAATTTTTGGCAGTGACATTATGCACTGCGGATTAAAGGAAATTTTTGTTCCCCTTCCTGAAAACGTAAGGCCGCATACAGCAAGAAAAACAATGAAAAAAAAAAAACAAAAAAAAAACATCCCACCCGCCATATTCATCAAAAACTACCCCATATGACTATTACCGTTTGTAATCATTGCAAAATGCTTTCATGGGTAAAACCAGATTCAAGAGTTCGTCAAAAAACTTTTCACGTCCAGTCCGACGGAATTTTACTGAAAAAGGTATCGAAGAGCTGCCTAATAAATAGCAACTAGGCATTGCAAATATTGTTGAATATATAATTGAATAAAATATAACTACTTTTTTTTCGGCTGATAAACAAAAACGGAAATTACTTATGACTCAATACATAGATGTTACCGGCACGAAAACTGGAAAACACGAACTGAGTTTGATTTCAGCTGGGACCTCTTATATCCCCTTCCTTTTAATATTGTTTGGAAAGGCATGAATCCATTCAAAACTTCCCATTCCCTGACCTACCGCTAGATATTTTGGTAAAATGTATCATCACCGTCATGCAACGATATTTTCTGATGTTTAATTTTAAAAAGTCTATTAAAAAAACTACTTTTGAAAAAATATGGCGTGACTTGAATCATAGACAACAATAATATCTTATTATGGCATGACGTCACAAAATAAAAAGTGGGATGGATCAATCAAATGTTAAAAGATGGCGCTCAGTCAGATGTTAAGCTTTAAAGATTCCTGATTTCTATAGTTTCCTTATAGGATCCTTTCATAAATTAAACATTTTCACATCTGTTATCCACATTTTTTGCTGTTCGCTTATTTTTTTTTTATATTTTAATACTAATGTTCAGCCACTACAAGGCCCAAGAGTCACTCAATGTAAAGAGCCATTGTGTGGGGTTGCGTAAGATTAGCGTAAGAACGGACAAGTGTTAGGAGTACGAAACTGAAGCCGGTTTTAGAAGGAACCGGAAACCAAATCCTAAACAGGAATCAAGCGATAAAACTCTTTTCAAAAGACAGGGGAGAAGTGTGAACCGGACGATTCTATAATTATTCCTATAGACTTTTTCTGAATATAAAACTTATAGAAGTTAGCTTCGAAAATAAATGAATGTTTAATATTTACTTTGTAAATTAATGGTAGTAATGATTTTAGACAAATAATGCAACTCATCTCAATAGCATTATCATAGATTGAGGACGTGATAATAAAGTTAGTTTTTTTTTGTTTTTTTTTTTTTTGTTTTTTAGTTCTCAGCTCCAACAAAAAGTGATGGGGTTAAATTCCACCAGCCCTCCCTATAACACCATGGATGGTTGGGTTTTTTTTGTGTGTTTATATATTTTTTTCTTCGTCAACCGATTTGACAAAATCGTTTCTGACACAGACTAGCGTCTTTATATATCATTATTTTTTTTTCCTGGTCGTATTTCCGAAAATTCGTTGTTTCGTTTTACCAAAAGATCTTGCTCATTGCAGAATAGAAGAGTTAGATCGTCCCTGAAGTTTTTAGTTGCCAAGCGATTACACATTGGAGATTCTTTATTATACTGCACTTTGTAAATGTCTTTTAACTTGCAATTTGCTCACACGCAAACACACACACACATACATACCCGAAGAAATAAAGAAGCGTTCTTTATTGTCTTAAAGAACGCTCTTTCTTGCTTTCTAATTTCCAACCTCAAATGCCAAGCAACGAACTTTCTCACTTAACGATCTTTCCGGCAGAATTCCGCCAAGATTTAAAATCAAATCGGGTTTAAAATGGACTGTAAAACCAAATTGAATAGCGAAAAACAAAGTGAATAAGTTAAATTCCGTGTTTTCTTTCTTTTTCTTTTTTTTTCTTTTTGTCTTTGTTTTAATTTAATGTTCATTCGCATCATTTCGTTTTCTTTTGTCCAGTTATCTCCCTTGATTCTCCGTTTTTCTTCTCGTCTATTCTTTTTTATCATCATCCTTTGTTCGTTAGTTTTTATTTTTTTTCTCCCCCCCCACCCCCAAACAACATTTTACTCTCTTCTTGCCTCCCCTCCAGCCACTTCTGCCTGGTATCTCTCCAATTTTCACTCTTCATCTCCGTACATTTCCCTTCTTTCCGCGTCTTCGGCCCTCCCTTTCATCTTCAGCCACCGTAACGATAGATTAACCACTTATAGATAGAATTAATTTTTTTCTACGAATTTAAATAATTAATGATTACTTCTTGAATTAATTTGATAGAGACAAAAACAGTTTCTAAAAAATATATATATACCGTTTTTTATTGCACTCCTTGTTAGGTATTTTTAGATATTTTCGATGAGAGTTCATTTGTTTTACTACTTGATTTGAAAAACAAGAAAAAAAAATCCGATTACAACCCTATGGACTCTATCCAATCATACACATACCGACACACGATTCTCATGAAATAATTGAGTTTTTTTTTAAATAACATATTGGCAAACAGAAACAGAGACACACTCAGACACAGACACACGACTATGTACAAGTCGAATTACAGTTAGTTCTGAGATCCTTTCGAAATTATTACAGCCTTCTTCCCACAGGTGAAATATTGCAAGCCTCTCAGTTATTCTATCGCTATTTTCATGGTAAATCTTCATAATGTACATCAAGTTACACCAGTTCAGACCTTTACTGCTAAAACTCACTGTACACAAGATCGAATGATCTTCATTTACTTCGTATCCCATTAGTAAGAAATATGTTCCACTCAGCTTCTAAAGAACCGCTACATTGTGGAACAGACTCCCAAGAGGATACTTCCGCGATCACAACATTCTTAACCTTTCAAGTTTATGGTCAAACGTTATCTATCTTCGATATCATAATTTGTACTTCTTTCTCTGACGTCTATACAACAACCTCACTTATTAATAAAGAAATTAAAATTTCACTATTTAAAAAAAAATAGAAATGTACGGAATCATTTTGGTTTGCTATAAAAATATAAAAATGATAAGGAAATCAAAAATAAATAAAGAAAAGAGATCAGGCGGTTATCATTCCTGGATTTAAGTGATTAAAAGAGATTGTCTATTGAGTCACATCTGTGAACCAATCAGAAAGCAAGAGACAATTTTGAAATTAATTCCGTTGTCTCGAAAAATTCGTATATATTGAGATAAGAATGTTAATCCTAATCCTACAAAACACCGATATCCACATTAAATCCAATAACATATATCCCACACAACTGCAAACCAATAATATAACCTCACACTTTACCACATTATCGGTTACCGTAAATAAAGGAAGAACAAGCAAAGTATTTTCTCTGCTCAGTGGCACAAAGAAAAAACTCAGTTTGCCGTATTGCCATCCTATTTGCATTAAGTCAAAATCGTAGATTCATTCAGCTTGCTAATTCCACTCTCTAACTAAATCTGTTGTATTCACTTTCGTAACATGCGAGGAGGCACGGTGGAGTAATGGATAGCGTCTGGGATTGAGAGCCGAGTTCAAATTCCAATCGAATCCATTACATTCACTTACGAGCTAATACCCTTGATAAAGGTACGAATCCCCTTCTCCCCCGCCCCGTCCAGCTATGGGTAAATAGCAGGACAGATCGGAAACTGGTCTACCGCAGAAAGAAATGGCAACCTACTGCGGGAAAAAAATCTGCCTCGTTAGTGATGTATCGAAAAATACATGATCGCCTAAGCGTATATCACGCATGGCACATGACTGACTGAACATGCCTTTAGGAAAAACATTAACCTGTTTTCTTCTCAGTAATCGTACGGTAGACAAGTCTTAATAGCTTTGGATGGCAACTAGTTTAGGAGGACTTCTCTGTATTCAAAACGCGCGAAACGCAAAAGGAACCCACACACATATATATATATATATACACACACACACATATATATATACACACACACACATATATATATACATACATATATATATATATATATATATATATACAAATACACACACACATATATATATATATACATATACACACACACACACATATATATATATATATATAAAAACACACACATATATATATATTATATATATATATATATATATATATATATTACACCATATATATATATATATATAACTGAAATATGTATATATCAAGGTAAATGGATATAAAGGGAAACAGAATGAAGAAATTTTGAAAAAAAAACAAAAATCCCTTTCATTTAACTACATTTAAAGCATATCCACCATTTTTCCAGTGGGTTTGGTTATTATCATATATAGCATTTAATATATATATATATATATATATATATATATATATATATATATATTTTATATATTTATATATATTTAAGTTATGAAGAATTTAAAATAAATTGGTAAATCCAAGGAGGATGAAATCCTGAGAGCTCAATGTGAAGAACAGAGCTAATATTTAATGAAAAACAGACACTTTAAGGTACCATTACAATAATTTATTTCACCAAAATCCTTTTTTTTTTTTGGATCATCAGGTAACACTTCCAACAATGAAATGAGATGAAAAAATTTGATTAGAAATTGATGGGTAGTGTAATTTTTAATTAAAAACAGGGAAGTATCAAGTATTATTTAAAAAGACAATACAAAAATATATATAAAATTAAATTTACATCTTTCGGGCCACTTTCGTAACATGCGAAAGCACGTTGGCGCAATTCATCATCTGGGATTATAAAAGAGTTCAAGGAAGAGGTTAATATATATATTTGAACATATCCTTCATGATAGTTTATATCAATTAACATATGATAAAAAATAATGGACAATGTGAATATTAATTTAATAATATATTTACGAATATAAATTTATAAATAATAATAATTATGATAATTGTAGAGAACTTTGCCATCAGAAAAATTCCAAAGAAAATATTATAGATAAATCACACGAAGAAAGCAAATGCAGGATGTGTGGGCAAATGATGATATTTTAACTTTCCATCCTTGCTTAATGAAAAAAGTTGGTCCAAATTTTTAAGAGATTGGCGTTATAAGAAAATCCATTGAAAAGTATGCTGTAAATATGTCTTCAAAGTGAAAGAGAAATGGTATGAATATCAACCAGAGATAGATAGAAAATGACAGTCACAAGATATTATGGAATACGAAGGCGACCATAGTTTGATGGCACTGAAGAAAGGTTTCCCCAAAAAAATAATGTCGTTTATGACGTTCAACAACGATAAAAAATTGAATTATTTTTGTGAATTATATTAGTCATCTTCCTGCCCAGAATCGAATTTATGGATCTGTCACCATAAACAACTATTTATTTCTAATTATTTTTTTTAATTTTTCCATATAATTTTATTCTTGGATTATAAAGATAAAAAAAACAGTTGAATTTATTAAGGATCTGGTTAGAAAGTTTTCAGAAACTATGAAAACACATTTTGTTCCTGTAATTCCTGTAGAATTGGATGCACTTTGAATACCATTTCGAACCCTGAAGTAAAAATCTTAGAAAAAATATAAATAAATAAATAAACATGAGACCAAAATTTATAGAACAGAAAAAAAAAATAAATTTCCTAGGATTCTCTGAAATCTTACAAATAATTATAAAAACTAATTGATTTCCATGTTAAAAAGAAAAATTACATCTTTTTTAAAAAAGCTTTTGGTTAATAATAGAATGAATTTATCCAAATAAAAGCTGAAGAAATAAATTTTCCCTTTTTGGAACATCTGAGTTTGAGACTCCACAAGTTTTAAAATATCCATTATGAAGTCATTTTGCCCATTGAATCTTTTTTTTTTTTAATTTTTTTTTTTTTTTATGGTTTAAATTGACTGCATTTTTTTTTGATGTTGACATTTCAGTGAAGGAAATAAATTTTGATCCTCGGTATGAAGCTTAAAATATTAATTTGTACAGAATTTTATATTTATAAACTATTTAATTATATATATATATTTTTCTTATATATATTTAGATATTGAATGGAATTCTCTGGCATTAAAAAAACAATTAAAGACAAATGGAAACAAACAACCGTTTCAATTTTCGAAATTCATGAAATCTTGATTTCATTGGTAATTTGACTAATTCTAAAAATTTAGTTTTTATAAAAATTAAATCATTATATAAAAAATTGGAAAGAGAGAGAGAAAAATGTCGCTTATCCAATAATGAAAAAAAAAAATCCAAAATGTGGATTGTGTTGAGGGAGGATACAAATTTAAAGACTAGTTTTCGATAATAACATGAAAGTTCTGTGCGCAAAGATGCGATAATTTAAAAAATAAACGACGCATACTTTATTTGTTTTTGATTAATAAAGATGTAAAACATTTTTCACGATTATTATTTTTAAATTCTGTATAATCGGTTTAAAAAAAAGTCGAAACCAAGACATATCTAAACAAGGACCGAAAGCACATAAAATAATTTTCAAAAAAATAAATTTTATTATAAAAAATCAACATTTTAATCTTTAAGATAAAACTTATGATTTTTAAATATGACAGTAAAGTTGGATGAAAATCGGAAAGAATTATAAATACCATGGAATTTTGGAAAACTATTTTGATTTTTAAAATGATTTCGTTCATCAGAAAGCACTTTTATTTCAACAATTACATGAAATTCAATAATACATAAAGGAATTTCTAATTTTCAATCATTAGTCATTCAATTTTTTTTTTACTAAAACAATTTAAAACTGAAATGGTTTACTCTTTAAAAGAAATTTAGATATTTTATGCGTCTTTTTTAAATATGTACACTTTTCTAAAAATTTAGCTATAAGGTTTATGTATACCAAAGATAATTAGAAAAATAATTATATACAATTTATAATATATCCATTGTATGAAAAAACTGAAACGATGCTTTTGGTTACCTATGAAAATCTCCATTTTCAATCAAATTATGGAAATCGTTATAGTGATTGGGTCCATTGCGAGCAAATTTTTTGAAAGATCAAAGGTGATAAAAAAACAATATTTTCAAAAAATTATTGATAGAAAATGAAAATTAGAAAAGATAAAAATTTGAGAAAGAAAAAAAAAGGAATTCTATCAAATAAAAAAGAGAAGAGTAAACTGAGAGCAAATGAAAAGTAAAAGGATGATAAATTCCTTCAAAAAAAGGAGAGTCAAATTTTTAATATGCAATTGAAAATGAAAAAAAAATTTTTAAAAAAAATTCCAAAGTAAAATTTACCAGCCTATCAATTTAAAATAAAGAAAAATAACAGCAAAGTGGACCTCAGAAAAGAAATTAAAACGTGGTTTTATTTTAAAACTTCCTGATTTTCCTTTGATTAAAATGTATGCAAAAGTCGGAATAAAAAAAGAAAGAAGAGGTGAAAGGTTTTAGAAAGAAGTAAATAATTTCAGACAAAGATAAGTGTACGAGAATCCAAGATTAAAACGAAAGATAAAAAAAAACAGTTTGAGAAAGAGAGCGAAAATATTTGATAAAATGAAACTGAGAAAATGAAAACGTTTCAAAAATAAAAATGAAAAAAATGTTTGGTATATATATAAGATGTATTCCTGTATAAAAATATATGAAAAAAAAAAAAATTGCGCCAATTATAGACTTTATCGCCTATTCATTTGTTTTCACTGAATTTGGTTGAAGATTCTTACGAAATAAATGTAGGAATCGTTGCCTTATAATTAAAAATTATTCTATTTTAATTGTCCTTTATGAATTTTATCTTCTTGATCACATGAATAAAAAAGAACAAATGTTTGTTTGAAATTGACCAATTTTTGCCAAAATCAGTTTCATTTTATCTCCTTTTGTTTTTAAACCCCCATTTGTTTTTTTTTTGATTGAAATTCAGTCTTATTGAATTGCTAAATGTTTGCAAAAAAGTTTTTTTTTAAATATATGAATTTCGACAGATTATTTAAATTAACTATAAAGAGTTAACATATCCTTTCATCGAGAATGCTTGACAAAAGATTAAGAAAAAAAATGTTCCTCTTATCAAAATTTCCGATAATAGGCTCCATGGATAAGGTGAAAATCATTCTATCTTCATCAACACCAAAGAATACCAGGCGTGTTTTAAAGGGGTTAAAAATGAACATCCAAAACCTGAAATGTTCTGACATATCTCGATTGAAAAAAGAAAATTTATGCGAGGCTTGTTTCAACTAGTGTTTTTATTTTGGACCTTAGCCCAATTTTTTTTATTTTGCTTGTTGTTCCCGTTGACTTAGTTGAATTATCGAAGAAATTCATTCCACGATTGAAGCAAAAATAAGGACACATTTTTAAATAAATTGCCTTTTTGACGTTTTCCATGTACAATTGAAAGCTTTAAATAGTTTGTAAAAAAATAGACCATTTTCAAGATACTAATTTTTACGATTCTTGGAAATTTTTTC